TAAAATATCTCTATGATTATAAAAAAACACATATATATATATATATATATATATATATATATATATATATATATACTGTTTGATTTTGCTTTACAGGCTTAAATATTTAATTATTTGATCAACTGAAATCTGACTTATTATTTAACCCAATTCGTTTAACCAATTTCTCATCCTCACTATCATTTTTCAATCTCAGAGGGCACGGTGAAATTATCTGAAATATTTCTGTAAGCCTCTGCTGGGCTCATAGGAAGTGGGCAGCTGAAAGCGTCTCATTCATAACGCCTCACCTGCAGCGGTCGAATCAGAGCAGTGAGCTCAGATTTCCCTGGAGTGAACTCCTGGTCAGCACATACACAAAAACACTGAATCAGCCACTGTAAACACACACATAGTAAACACACGTGTGTAGGCCCCCACTATCATTTTTAATTCCGAACGACTCTGAAGCTCAGAGGGCACGGTGAAATTATTTGAAATATTTCTGTAAGCCTCTGCTGGGCTCAGAGGAAGTGGGCAGCTGAAAGCATCTCATTCATAACGCCCCACCTGCAGCGGTCGAATCAGAGCAGTGAGCTCAAATTTCCCTGGAATGAACTCCTGGTCAGCACATACACAAATACACTGAATCAGCCACTGTAAACACACACACACAGTAAACACACGTGTGTATGCACACACACTCAAGCACACTGTGCAAACACGAGTGACCCTGCCAACACACACACACACAGGGGCAATACAATAAGTCCATTATTGGGTGTTAGTCATCAGTTTGGGCTCCTCTCTACCACACACCTACCCCTCTATCTCCCCCCGCCCTGCTGCCATGGCAACAAAGCTTGACATTTGCTGTCTGTTTTCTGTTGTGCAGGGTCTTCCAGGTCCACAGGGCCCCATCGGACCGCCTGGAGAAAAAGTAAGTCTTTCGTGGTTTTCATGCATATAATTCTCAGGAGTTTCCTTTAAACAGATTGAGACCAAAAAGAAAGATATGTAACATATCATGGTGATATAAAATTGTTGGTTTATTTATCATTACACAACCCTGCATCTTGCAGCTGAGAAAACTCTAGCAAAAAAGGCCAAAAATGTTATTAAGCTAAAAAAAAAAAAAAGAAGAAGAATTTTTCAAATGTATTCAATGCACTCATAAAATTCAGTTTTAAAAAAGTATTCATAATATATCATTTAATTTATAATCTGTGAAGGAGTGTAAAAATCATAATGTCTTCAGAATCATTTATATATGTGAAAATCAGCTGATAATTGAACAAATAATAATAACTTGGCTCTGAGGAAGCTAGGAATCGTGTCTCTGTGGCAGTTTTTCTGGTAATAAAAGAATAATACAAGACTTCTTCACCTTACAAATGGTAGTCAAAAGCAAAAATGCTATGAAATGTATTTGAGACATTTATATTTTTTTGAGAAAGTGTAACATGCTAGAGCAAAACATGCACTCATTTTGCAATCAGCACCCTGAAATTAGTAAGAGGCAAATATTTGATTTCATTCCTCAAACATTCTGCAGGCGGTGTTATCAATCACTTATATTTATATGTCTTGCTCTTTTGCTTTGGATACATAAATAAATGCAAAATGAGCTTTGGTGCAGGATAGATGTGACTTAGTCTCAAAACATCACTGGAGTATGCATTTATTTCTGTAGCATTCATTTTCGAGCGTATTTTATTTTTCATGATTCAGTGCATGTTATTTCCTGTAGGGCATCTGTGGTCTTAGAAATTCTTCTTAATCCAATCGAAGTTCTTTTTCTCTGTCTCTTCATACAGGGTCCTCAGGGAAGGTCTGGTTTGCCTGGATTGCCTGGCGCAGATGGACCTCCTGTAAGTATCAGTGATACTGATATATCAAGTGATTCATGTCTGCTAAACTACTGATGATTGAAACATATTCCACAGCCTGTTGTCTATAAATTGGACAAAGACCATAACTGATTGTCTATCTTCTTACACATTTAGAAGCATCATAGCAAAGATGCATGTTGAATCTGCAGCTCAAGCGACTCAAAACACAAACTATTTATAACAAACTTTGAGAACTATATATAGCTAATGTCACACACTAAAGAGACATATGTCTTTCAGCTGTCACTTTATACTAATTATCTGTATTTATTCTACAGGGCCATCCTGGTAAAGAGGGTCCACCTGGAGAGAAAGGAGCTTTGGTAAGGAAACACAATTTTAGGGAGCATTTAAACAGAATGTGTACTGGTCGATCAGATTTATATATGTAATATTATTGTATTATGGATTATTAATAAAAAATTATTTAATTTTGTGATTATGCTAATGCCAGGCAGCTAAAAAGTGGTTAAAATTGCTAATGTTAATAGCTCCCTGATGCAAATGAGCATTTGGTCTTGATCTTTTAGCTGTCTGACCAAAGTAATATTTGTCCCTGACTATGGTTTTCTTCTTCTGACTGTTTAATTCAATTTCATATTTAGAAAACATTGTTTGAAAGTATCTTTTTAGCTATAAACCTCTTGCAAGGTTACCTCAGCCACAGATATTTGTTGTTTGGCGTACACATTTCGTAATTTTTCAGTGTGTCATTTTCAGGGCCAGACCGGTCCCCAGGGCCCCATCGGCTATCCTGGCCCTCGCGGTGTGAAGGTAAGGCATTTTTTGTGTTTGATAGAGATTTATTGGTATGCACTGAGTTTGCGATCTTTGCTTGATCACATGCTCTCCGTCTTACAGGGTGCTGATGGCGTCCGTGGACTGAAGGGAGGCAAAGGAGAGAAGGTACCCAAAAAAAACACATATTTTTTGAATGAGGCAAAGAAGAATTTATCCACACTATCCACTAGAAGTTAATGCTTGTACTAAGAATCATTGCAATGACACTTACACTGGTCACTAAATCTGCATAAAAAGAGTCCAATAGCCACTACACATTCTCTCCACTTAAACATCATATCATAAGTGCTGTTTAATCATGCAGAGAAAGTGTCATAACACTTATTCAAGACACAAAATCACTCCATCACCATTAAGTACGTCCAGATTGCAGTCGGCTGTAATTAACAATGTAGAAAAAAATGTTTGAGAATGCCACTCAACTGAGGGTGGGATTGATACTGTAGTGCCATCATAACAAGACTGAGTGTCTAGCCGTGTCCATATCCAAATAAATAAGGCATTAGTTGAGTCGACAATGCCGTCAGGTGGTCACAAAGTTGCAGAATGCATCATGCACATGTAGGCGTTCACATTCAGACTGATGTTTAGTGACAGAGAATGAGAATTCAATCATAAATCAACACTATGAATCATAACAGTTAGCATACCTTTAGATGTTTGCTCACTTTTAGCTGTTAGCACACATTTAGTCAAGCGCTGTCAGGTGGTCACAAGTTGCATAATACATCATACATGTGTGAAAGATTCAGACTGATGTTTAGTGACAGAGAATGAGAATTCAATCACAGATCAACACTGTGTATCATAACAATTAGCATACATTTAGCAGCTAGCTTATTTTTAGCCATTAGCACCCATCGAGCTTTTAGCACAGGTTTTAGTTCACTTTATTCCATATGCACAACATTGTAACTTCTAGACTGAATGAAATCATTGACAGTGTTGCAGTACTGCATTATTGTCAGCAGGTGGAGATCTAGTACAATGCTAAAGAATTAATAGTGCTGTATTTATATGCAGAAGTTATAGCTTCATCACTCTATATGTTTTCCCTAATGTTTCATCCTACTTTTCAGGGCGAGGATGGTTTCCCGGGTTTCAAGGGAGACATGGGTCTCAAAGGCGACAGGGTAAATAAACAGTGTCCATCCTAATTTTATCCCATGAAGGGCCGCACTGATTGGCTGGATTTCTGTGTATGTTCAGGGTGAATTTGGATTGGCTGGACCCAGAGGTGAGGATGGACCAGAGGGCCCGAAGGGTCGTGCGGGTCCCAACGGTGAATCTGGACCCCTGGGACTTGCTGGAGAAAAGGTACGCTGCTTGTTAATTACAGATTACCATTATTAGTTGATTACCAATGCATAGGGCATCAGGAAGTTATGTGGGGTTTGTGTTTGGAATATTAATATTATCAAATGAGATGTTTGTTTGTCCAGAGATGTTCTTGCACTAATGATCCTTGGCTTGTTTTCCATCAGGGCAAACTTGGTGTTCCGGGATTGCCCGGCTATCCAGGACGTCAAGGGCCAAAGGTATGCACTTAAATTGAACATGACACCTGTACCTGCATCATAATTGTTTCACTTATGAGCTAAACAACAACTTGGCTCATTAGCATGAACTAATGCCCTCCTGAGAATGCATTATGCATGCTGCACTGAGTGAGACTTTTTTCAAATGAGCAGCTAATGCCAGGATTGTTCCCTGTGCTGTTGGGGATGCTGGTCACGCAGGCAGTGAGGAGAAGTCGGAGCACAGTTGCATGTGTCCGACCTCAGTGCCTTTCATCAACAACAGCATCAGCTGTAACAGCAGTACCCAATCTGGCTCAAGCCAGCCCCAAACTAGACCTTAAGTGGCCTTGGAGGTCTGGAGACCTTCTATGACAAACACTGGCGTCATTACAGGCGCCTAGTTGATACAACTGGGAAGACTCTGAGTTTTCAGTATACAGTTTGGTATGTTGCTTGGTAAATTAATATGGATTAATATGGAACATTCTAAAATAAGATAAATATACATGAGAATTAAAACTGCATAAGATAATAAAACTTGTTTTCTTAGAATATTAAATTTTTTAAATTAAAATATATTCTTATGCCATTGGAAGATTTTTGCTGCATCCAAAAATGTGTACTTTCAGAATGTGATTAATTTAATGAAGTTAAATTTGAAACTTAATTTCCAGCCATTAATGAAAGCTCCGTCATCTAAAAAGATATAAAGACAATAATTCCAAATTCTGTAAATATTAACATTTATTAATTATTTATTAACATGAATTCTTTTATTTGATTTGATTTTAGAATATGTACTTTCAGAATATGATAAACTTAATGAAATTTTCAACCACTGATGAAGGCTATTTTTGGGAATAAATACATTCCTTGGTATTGTCACTAAAAATATATTATAAAGACAGTGTCAAATTCTGTAAATATTATGATTTATTTAGTATTTATGAATTTATTCATTTTTCATTTAAATTTAATTTAAAATTTCACTTTTTTCCAGTATTTTTCTCTAAACTTTTCTGCAGACCACCCCTTTTAACATACTATATTATTTAAGTACACATATTGGAGGTGTTGCTGTCAAAACCTTATTCTGTTTGTTTGCATGTGCCAGTTGACTCGACACAGGCTTCACCAATTGTGTGAGATTTTGTTTGTCTCATTCACTATTTTTGCAGTTCATTTTGGTGCCGATAGTGGAGTAGAAATGACACCTTTAAAGCCTATCTTGAATTTACTTGAATTAGATGGAATAAAGCCCAGTCCTAGCGGAGGTGCTGACTCCGGTGGTAAATTTACAGTCTCGTAAATCCGCTTCTATTTAGCAGCATTAACGAACGACAGACAAGTGATGTGATTACAAGCACTTTGACATGCCATCATCTCTGGAATGGATTCACAAAGCCTGCCAACTCTCAAATTATCATGAAGTGCACTTTTGAAGACCAGCCATCACTGTCTGAGTGGTTACTGGCGTCAGAGTTGTGGCATTTTTTTACAGAGTGTCATTGCTTATTCGTCATTGCCTCACCTTTACAGTTTCACAATATGCTTTGTGGTAAATCAAACCTGATTTCTGCAGGACCCGACTCTGAGGCCTGGCCTTAAAATGAATGTGTAAAACAATCTATTGATTTTCTTTCTTGAATGCTTATACCGCTGCCAGGATTGAGGAGCGTGGGTAAGCTGTTTTTAATTTACTGCATTGAAAATGAGAGAAAGAGACAGACAAGAGTTGAGAATGAAAGCAATTAAGACTAATCAGTAGTGACTCTTAATATTAACTCTGTTTGGTTGTTTATCTGACTGAGTGGCCATTTTTTTTCGTCCAACGTCTGGATCGCTGTCCTCGGTGGACCCTTTTGTATTTCCGCACTGACAAGCGATCCCTTCCTGAAGCTCTCCTGTGCTTAGTCTTGTGCAAACAAAACAAGGAAACTGATAATCGAGATCGGCCTTGTTTATCTTGGGATATATCATACGCATTCAAAGTCTATCTTTCAACCGCTGAATTATTCTGAGAAAAAAGCTTGCCAACAATAGGGACAAAGCAGTCTCACAGCTATTTAAAACTCTACTGTGGAAGTAGCAAAGCCAAAGATGCTAATGCTAACAGGTTGTAACGTAACTGTCAGAATCAGCAGGAGAGTCGGGACTCTTGGAGTTTATCCCTCATTAATATGCAGGTCCTGCTGCCTTCTCTTCCTCGCTTAAGTCTTTTTCTTTGATTTGCAGGGTTCGACCGGTTTCCCCGGATTCCCAGGAGCCAACGGAGAGAAAGGAGCCAGGGTGAGATGGATTCTTCCAACCTGCTTTGTGTGATCTCCATAAATGTCTTTTAAAATATATTTTACATGTAATAGTATATTTTTTTTAAATTAGCTTCCCTTTTTTAAGCTACCATTCAATGTACTAGTTTAGCATACCACAGGTCGATTAGCCTACTAGCTTAGCTCATCACATATGCAAATTATGTTTTTAAATTACATTATATTTTGCTTAGTTTCATTAAGTTATTACTCGCAACACCAAAATTACCTCATTTAGAGAGTTAAAAGCATGTTTTCACTCGTTATAATTAAGTAGCATTGTTGTGCTAATGCCTTCCATAAGAGAGCCTGCATTTTACTATGTCAAAATTCCGCTTAGATTCACATTTTAGATACATTTTGTTTATCAAAGCAATGGATAGATACTGTATGTTTGTGACTATTTCGTAAACAGAATGCTAAAGATAAATTATGTTAAGTACTGAGTCTAAACCTACTCTTACGAACAGGGCCGTTCTTTGGGGGTGCAATTGGTGCAGCCGCACCTGGCCCCGCGCTTGAGGGGGTCCCGCGGCGAACGGACCTATGAAAGTGTCTCACCCATTAATTCAATGGGAATCTCACTTGCAAACAAACCTTGGGTTTGTCTGTTCATGGGAAACCTCTTAGCAAAAGCAACTGTGCCCTAAGCATTTATGATTATTCATAACTAAATGTCAGGTTAGCTGCTATTTTTCCAAGTGTTTAGATCCTGCTCATGAGCAGGGAGCAAAATGACAGTGTATGTGTGTATGTTTGTGTGCTTCTAATACACCTACACCTCACCTGAAACAAATATTGCCATGGCTCCTAGAATCCAATGCTTGTTTTCCCCCGCTACACACTGTCATCTCATCTTGGCAAAAAGAACGGCAACAACTGCAGCAATTGGATTTGCTGTGTGTAGCTATTGAATTCACCCTCAATTTTTACCACACTCATTTTTCTTCTTTCTTTTCAAAGGGAGTGGCAGGGAAATCTGGTCCAAGAGGTCAAAGAGGTCCGACGGTATGTACTGCTTCAGCACTTGACCTTCTATTTTTATTTAATTTTGCTGAATTTAATTATGCAAGCCAAAAAGAGTCTTAAATATCCTGAAATTTTAGGGTCCCCGTGGTGCACGCGGTGCCAGAGGCCCAACAGGAAAGCTAGGCCCTAAGGTACTGCTTCCTTCAGGCTTTGTTTTTGTCAGTCACTTCCGTTGCACAGTCCTTATGCTTCGCTCTCTCATTATCCAACAGGGAACAGCGGGCAACGACGGTCCACCTGGCCCACCCGGCGAGAGAGTAAGTGCCACCCAGAATGCATTGCAGCAAACATTTTTATGCCATCATTCTATCTACAGTGAGATGGTGTACGGCTTGAAGCGCTCAGAGAGGGTGATTTAGCAGGAAGCACGGTGAGGATTAGCTCAGCATGTGGGGGTACTCCAGATAAGAGGACTTACCACCAAACCCGTGTTTCCGTCTGAAAGCTATTATAGATTTATGAAGAGCTCTTGAGTATTAGACCACTGGAAGGCTGTTGTCCAAGGCTCACATCACTCGAAATCTGATGTTGCACTGTTTGTCTCTACCATGAAATCCTGTTCTCGTTTCGTCCTCTATTTTTCAGTGTTTTCCTGTTTATTTATTCCGTTTCTCAGTTGGAATCTGAAAGCCTTTTTTAAGCATTTCGAAAAGCCTGTTGACTGTTCCTACATTGCACTTAGTTTCAGCTTGTAATATTTTATTAATGTTTTGTTTTTGTTAGTATTTATAAATTCTCTTTTACTGAGATTATAAGACAAAAGATCATTAGACAAATATTCACTTCTTCTAGTTCACATTTCAGATATTGCCATTAAACCATCTGCACTGCTTTGCTGTCTTATTTTTTAAGTAAAACAACAAACTTCTCACCAAATAAATGTATTTTCCTGTTTTTTTCAGGGACCTCAAGGGCCCCAGGGTGCCGTTGGTTTCCCAGGACCGAAGGGCCCCCCTGTAAGTACCTGTTTATCTATACTGTTTTAGATGCTGAAAAATGTGCCATTTACAGACCTAGTACAGTACAGTACTTACAGTACAGTACTTTGTTCTCTGTTTTAGGGACCACCTGGAAAGGATGGGCTGCCTGGTCACCCTGGCCAGCGGGGAGAAACTGTAAGTGTTTCTGATCACTCACACTTATAGAACACCCAAATAGCCTAAGCGATAACATATAGCAGACATCACTGATCAGTTGTGGGAAGAGAGCGTGTTCAGGGACTGAATGAGCCTCTGAGTTATGTGTAAATCTGAAGGAGTTATGGCAGTTATTTCTGATCCAGGCAGAAGCTTTATTAATAATGACATGGCCCAGTAGGAGATGCTTGTTTATCACATTTAAGAGCAATAAACTTAGTGTGAAGTACCGCAGCTTATAAAATCCATTTTTACTTGATGGTCCACCAGTTGAAGTGATTTTTTCCCCTAGGGTTTCCAAGGCAAAACTGGCCCACCAGGACCTGGAGGTGTTGTCGGACCACAGGTAGGTGTTTATGTTATTGCATGAATATAAATATATATATATATATATATATAGTTTAGATAAGCAGAAGGATTTGCCTGTTAATCTCACAAATGTGTCTGTAATGGCTTGAAAGGGTCCAACAGGAGAAACCGGTCCTATTGGTGAGAGAGGACCAGAGAACCAAGGTTGTCCCCCCGGAGAGCAGGGTCTCCCAGGTGCTGGTGGAAAAGAAGGTGCAAAGGTGAATGATGTTCATGTTTACATGACTTTCAGCCAGATAGAATATATACAGGGCAAATACAAACAGAAACTAATTGATTGCCTTGTTAGCAATAGTTAAACTAAAATTCAATCCTTTCTTATTGGAAAACTAAAAACAAAGTTTTTAGGTCAAACAGAACTAAAAATGATTGATTATGACCCCCCGTTATTATTTCTTTAAGAAAAAACAGCCAGTGGACATCAGTTTGTTGACCAACAACTCGTTCTGTCCAAGTGTGTCCAAGTTTTCCAGAGCAATAACGTCCATACTGTGGAAAATTGCTGAATTCCCTTTCTAAATAGAGTCTAAATTGTTAGTAGACGTGGCTTTTAAAGGCTGAACTGAATTTCAGTGAGTGTCCAACCTTCCTGTCTCAGTTGCAATTTCTGCCACTTCTAAACGGAGACACTTTAATCAGCTTGATCGGCCCACTTCAGACAGGCTGTCAGACATGAGTGAACACCCCGGAGGCAGAGTATGCTGCCGCAGTCTGAGCGGTCAGACTCACGGTCTTTCTGCAGTCATTTTCCTGTTTTCGCTCATTTGTTTCCTCTTTTTATTAGCTGAATATAACACTTTCAGTGGTCCAATCAAAATGCAGAGACACTGAGGTCAAATGGAGGTTTTTCAAAAGGCTAAAACAGTGTTAAGCTTTCTAGCTATTTTAAATCTCAAAAATCACTCTTGAGCCTCTCAGGCAGGCCTGTCTGATTGCAGTTTACTGTTCGAAGGCACTTGTTGGCCCCTCAAGACACTTTAGGATTCTTAATACTTGTTTTAGGCAGGCTTGATTTAATTGTGCTGAAATATGAACTATGTCAACATATCAGTGCGAAAACTTTATTAACAACAATTAGCTACCAATAATGTACACTTTCGTTCAGTCATTCGTGCTGTTTTCACTGTATTTTTGATTAAATGCAGCCTTGGTGAACATAAGATCCAAGAACATTAAAAAAAACTATCTGACACCAAAGTTTTGAATGGTACTGTACAAAATTTGGTCTTTCAGTTGCAATTAGCATAATTAACATAAGATGGACATGTTAACATATTGAATGTATTTAAATGTTCTTTTCATAAATTTTAAAGGTTCCGATTTCCAACTTGATTCCCCCAAAAATGTGGGCTAAAAACTTTGTCTTGGTCCTGCAAATTTTAGCTTCTGTTTGTCAGACCAGTGTAATGGATGGATTGTTCAAAATCTATTTGGAAACATGTTTCATTATAAAGAATTTACACACTGCAGTTTTAATCATGCTGTGGAATCAGATTAAATATTAATTGAATCGACCTGCCAGCGCTAGCGACGGTGGATTTGAAGCTAGCAATAATTCAGGATCATTTCATCAGTTCAGAGCTCATTATCATCAGCTAAGAATTCATTTTGTGTAATTTTTCTGTTCATTATATTTGAAGTGCAATAAAATATTCAATTGGCAACTGTCTTTCCGCAGGGAGATCCAGGTCCTCTGGGCAGTCCAGGAAAAGACGGTCCTCCAGGACTGAGAGGGTTCCCAGGAGAGAGAGGTCTTCCTGGAGTGACGGTAAGATCATGCTCCCGTCGCGAATAAATCACTGCAATAAATCCTCCTAATCTTAGAGATAGACAGAGAGTTAGACTTAGGGCTTAGGGCTGCTGGCTTATTACATCCACAGAATTGGACTTATTTCATCAGTTCAGAGCTCATTATCATCAGCTAAGAATTCATTTTGTGTAATTTTTCTGTTCATTATATTTGAAGTTCAATAAAATATTCAATTGGCAACTGTCTTTCCGCAGGGAGATCCAGGTCCTCTGGGCAGTCCAGGAAAAGACGGTCCTCCAGGACTGAGAGGGTTCCCAGGAGAGAGAGGTCTTCCTGGAGTGACGGTAAGATCATGCTCCCGTCGCGAATAAATCACTGCAATAAATCCTCCTAATCTTAGAGATAGACAGAGAGTTAGACAGCAGCCCTGGCTTATTACATCCACAGAATTGGACTTCAATACACTGCACAAAGACTTTAATAGGGTGTATAACCTCTAAAAAAGCTAACTTTGCATTGTTTAATGCAGAGATACATTATGCTAACTTGACTGTGGTTCACGTTTTTCCCTTTACCACCTTTTGTAGTGGCTGGGTTGTTGTCTTTTACATTAATTATCTGGCCAAAGAATGATTTAAGTGGAAATGTTGGCAATTAGATTTTGGGAGACGAGGTTGTTTGTTCATTGTTGATGTCTGATCTCAAGGTCAGTGGCAGAGACTGGCTCTCCATGCTCTGCCTGGTTGTTTTCTACTGGGGCGATTTTACTGTCATTACTGAGACCACCGTGTGTGTCTGCCCTTTAGAGAGGCAATCTCAAGCCCTCACTCACAAAACACAACAGCACCTCCATGAGCCCTGACACACACACACACACACAGATGGACCTACAAGGACGTTCATGAAACATACACAACTACATGGTAGTTTCTATTAGTTTCATATTAGTATTTAAGTGTAGTTTATGGAACCAAAAGTTCATTTACATGGATTCACAAATCTCCTCACACACACACACATGAGAGCTTTTGTCAGATCTTTGATTTTTACTGTGCCCCGGTTGACCTGTGAGAGAAAAAGAGGCCAGTAAATATCAATCAGGTAAAGGCAGAACCAGCAGGCAGTCGAGATCTGTGGATTTCTCTCTCATACAGGAGATTAGTAACAGCCACAGTCAGAAGAGACCAAACCCGCTGTCAGTTTGTGCAAGTACAAAAATCAGTTTAGAAGCAGTAGGACTCAACAGTCTTTCATGACTTGGGTATAAGTTATAAAATCATAATTTCTTCATTACATAATTTTGCTTATTTTCTGAAATATTTCACCTCCTTCCAAAAAAAAAAAAAAGTAATCTCTGTCATTAGTTACTTACAATCATGTCATTACCAACCCAGTATGTTAGGTTTTTTTAGCCATACAACTATACAAGCGCCAAAAAGCGCAATAAAAAGGGGTCCATACAACTTGTGCACTATATTTCAAGTGAGGAACAGACTGAAATTTGTCATAATCTACTTGTGTGACAACTCTTGAACTAGGGCTGGACGGGAAATCGAGTTTGTACGATATATCGATATTTTATTTATAAGCGATTCGATTTGAGGCAATACCGTTGAGATGTGCTGTCTTCCTGAATGCATAACTTACATTTCACAGGTATATTCTCCATCTGTAAATGTTAGATAGCCATGGAAATATTTACATTTTTCTGTCAGAAGTGCATGAGCCTTCTGGGATTCTCCACTAAACTTCACTTCAGTGAACGAGCGCCGCCGCGCGCATGCGCGCCAAACGGACAGAGCTCAATTAAATAGGAGCGCAATAATTCTGAATAAAATATACATTTCGCTGAAATATTTGTAGTTGGACGATAAATGTGACATGTAGAATTATAAACCTACAAGTAAGTCTATTTTTATGATAGCACTGACTGTAAAGTGACTGTAATGGGGTAATCAAAACAGCCTAACACAACTGTGCTTTTGTTCTCATTTATTTTAATTTTTAGTTTAGTGAATTTAACTATGTTTAGTGAATTTTGTTTTTAGATTGCAATGTTACAATGTTAGAATGAAATGTGATTTTAACCCCTTTTTTGCACATAATATAAAGGCTTACATGGTTACATTCACTTTATTTGTTTTCTACCAACATATATATATATATACTGTGTGAAAATAAAAATAAAAATAAAAAAAATAAAAAAAATAAAATATATATATATATATATAAAATACAGATTTTTAAAATACAAATACAAAAACGAAATGCAGTGTTTATAGTGCTTTTATGGTGGGGGGGTTTTTTCTTCTTCTTTTTTGTACTTTTTGGGACTTGACAGCAAATCTATGTAAAGATTCTTTCAAAATCAAGATTTCCAGCAACATAAGAATATTTTCATTTTTTGGTTAGCTATTCCCTTTAAGAAAAAGCTTAAAATACTGTTGGTGAAATCTGAGAGCTGCATGAAATTGCAGAATAGAGGTTCATAGGAATTCATTAGAGCATTATCCTTTCAGGATTTTGTATTGCCCACAGTGTTCCAGGTAATATTTGAAGCAGTTAAGTTTATGAGCAAGAAATAGAGCAGAAATAGAGTCATTATGATCCTTGACTCAAAGTAATAATTCATCTAGTTAGAAATTGTCATCTCAAAAATCATTTGCCCTCATGTCATTCCAAACTCTTTCTTTGTTTTATGTAATATCTAAGGAGAATTTGTCTGATGTTTGCTACTATTGTTTTGCACAAAACCCAATGTGACTTGTGTGCTATGTTCCAATATTTCTAAAGCCATATGATAGCTTTGTTTTAGAAACAGTCTGATATTTAAGCTATAGTTCTCAAATCTCTTTCACGCTTCCATAGATTCAAACTTGGCATAAGAGATACCTAAAACTAGTTTTAATGTCAGTAATGAAGGCAAACACCATTGGTTTTTGTACACCTTGACAGGTCACAACACATGCAAGAACCGAAGTTTGAAAAAGCAAAACTACAAGCACTTTCAGTGTGGATTCTCAAAAGCTTTCAATGTGAAATCTCCATTATGTGTCGGTCATATTGTGTGGTAGATGTATTATCTCAGTTATGAGCTACAGGTAGATTTGTTTGCTCAGGCACGGTGCACTAAAACCTACAGTACATGTTTATATCTGGCTTTGAGCATCAATAGATGACGTGTTGGATCATGCTCAAGAGAAAATTACTAATGCTGACACTTTGATATGAACCTTCTTGTTAGGCCTATTTACTCATTCATATTTTGTTCTTCTTTCTCTTTTGCCCTCTGCAGGGTCCACCTGGTTTGAAAGGAGCCGAAGGCCCTCAGGGCCCCCCTGGTCCGGTTGTAAGTACTCTGTTTCCATGGTTTCCCATCATACAATGTGAGTAGTTCATTCTCCCAAAAGCAACATTCAATATTTAGGAGTCTGAGAGGGTTGTGGGAGTGGTCAGGAAGATCTCAATCTCAAAAACACCATTAAGGATTTTTAAAGTGTTCTTCGCTGCCGAACATATGCACAAACAAAGTAGAGTACACGGCTGATTCATACTCTCAATAAATGAGAGATACCGAACCGGACAGTTGGATCAATGTCTCTCACAGTGCCTCATGCAGTGGCATTAGCTAACACTAGAGGGTGTGATGGTGACCACCAGAGTGTCTCGAGATAAATTCACAGCACCGGTTTGTAATTACCTCCTCTTGACATTTTATACCATAGCTGTTTCATTAGATTTTATGTGACGGGCACGTTGAATGTCCTCAAGAGTTTCTCGAATTTATACCACATTCTTTTCTTCACCGATTCTTTTCTCTTACGGAAAAAACGATAAGTATTGTCACCCTATAATTGCTCTTTTTCAGGCCTTGATAGTGCGCTGCCAGATTAGAATGGCTGGATGAAAAGTCATTGAGGAGTTTTAAATTCAGCTGTGTCAGTCCGATAAAGGATACATTTGCATTTGTATGAAGATGCAGGGGTCTACAAATTAAACCACGTTTAGAAAGAGAGATAAGAAGTCTAAGGGCATGTTCGCCCACTAGTAAGAGTAGATTTGTCGCCCAACAGAAAGTTTTTTTGTTCTTTCAACAGCTCCCCTCTTAGCTGTCGCTGTGCCGTTCTGATTGTATAATTCTCACCACACTCTGTTGTACGATGTTTGTTGCACTTGTTAGTCGCAACGCATTGCACAGGTTGTTTGGACAATTTCATCCTAATTTGTTGAAGACCTTCTGTACTGTCCCAATGCAATGACTTAATTAGCAGTGTTTGCAAAGGCAAATATCACTATCAGGTGCATAAACTGTCCCGCATTGTTTGTACCACAGACATTTGAAACCACAAATTTATTGGCTTGTTGAGGAAAGTTGTAGGACTTACGATATTTAAATCGGTACTAAATCCCATAGCGTTGCATTAAGAACACGCAGAACACCTTAGCAACCGCATAGCAACAGCCTAATATCCACATAGCATTATTTTAAAAACACTGAGAACTCCTTAGCAGCTGCATAGCAATGGCCTAACATTAGCATAGTAGCATGTTAGAAACATCCAGAACACCTTAGAAACCACATAGCAACACCCTAACATTAGCATAATAATGTTAAAAACCATCAGAATACCTTAGCCAATGTATAGCAGCAGCCTAACATTTGCATAGTAGTATGTTAAACACAAAACTCATTAGCAACTGCATAGCAACAGCCTAACATCAGCATATTAAAAACACTCAGAACCCCTTGTTAAAAACACTCAGCTTAGCAACCTCATATTAACACCAAAACATCAGCATAACAACATAAAAAGCAATCAGAACACCATAGCAACCGCATAGCAACAGCTTAACATCAGCATAACAACATCAAAAACTATCAGAACACCTTTGCAACCGCATAGCAATAGCTTAACATCAGCATAACAACATCAAAAACAATCAGAACACCTTAGCAACCGCATAGCAACATTCTAACATCTGCATAGCAACATGTTAAAAAACACTGAGAATTCTTTAGCAGCTGCATAGCAACAGCCTAACATTTGACTATAAACATGTTAAAACACTCTGAACACCTTAGCAACCACATAGCAACCCCCTAACATCAACACAGACATCAGCAATTATGGCGACTGGATGTAACGTCTCCGTTCCCTCCTCCAGGGAACGAGGGTTAAACACGTAACCTTTACAAAGAGCTAGCTTTCTATGTTTCTATGGAGTTATTTATGCAGTCGACAGAAGAAACAGTCTGAAAATGGTCTGAAATGTCTTGATTTTGGGGGCTAGAGCAGAATCATTCATAAGCAAAAGCTTCTCATTTGGATTTTCAGCACTAAAAATACATCCTTAAAAAGATGTGGTTTGGGAGAAACCAGTTTAACCCTTTATACATGACTAATACGTGAGGTACGCTAGATCTTTAGAAGCATATTAATGTAGTATATGCTTCAGTAAATCAGACTTGCTGTAGCATGTATATGTCTATGGAGTATCTAAGTGTCAAATATGTTAAATCACTTTTTGTCATAGGGTTCCCCTGGTGAGAGAGGAGCAGCAGGACCTGCTGGCCCCATTGGGTTGTCTGGACGTACTGGACCCCAGGGACCCCCGGGACCTGCTGGAGAGAAGGGTGCACCGGTAATTGTGCTGATTAGATACAATGATAATCAATTTGTGTTTCTTATATTACATAAGACATTTATGAGTGACAGTGAATAGCTTAAGGTTTCATAGTAACCACATAACCTCCACCTTAGCACTATTTATATCTTTTATCACATGTCTTTGTTCAGGGAGAGAGAGGTCCTCCAGGTCCAGCCGGTCGGGATGGAGTACAAGGTCCAGTTGGTCTGCCGGGGCCAGCAGGACCTCAGGGTCCACCTGGAGAAGATGGTGACAAGGTTAATTGCAATTTTGATTAATGTTAATACATTTAGACAGTAGAGAGGGGAGACATTACATTATGCTTCTCTTGATGTGTCAGTTAACGCAGACAATTCAAAGTCACCACTGCAGGACTGTAATGGATTGCACTTCATCTTAACTTTCATACTGATTAAATGGAAGTTTTCCGTCATCACTTCTAAACCTTCATTACACCGTGAAAAATAAAGTCAAGTAAAATGAGTCAAATGAAATAGCTTTCAGAGAATGTATCTATCTTATCCTATTGGCAAATAGTTTTTAAGCATAAATCTCACTAAAACTTCTTCAATTTCTTCACTTTTTCCTTTTAAAAACTATTTGCCAGTGAGGTAAGTAAGTAAAATACATTTAATTCAAGAAAAAAAGTCTTAGTATCTTCTAAAGTGTTGTGTCTCAAATATTTTTTCTTGTTTTAAAGATTTTGAAACATTCTACTAGAAAACAAGAAAATGATTTCTCTCCTATCACTCTAGTATATCTCACATCTCTTCCCAGAATTCCTCGCCCTCACTTTTTGGACAGCGATCATTCTTCATCATCACAAACACACACTGCACGGCCATCTGAAACGCATGCCTATCTCTCAGTCACTCTTTGCTGCCGCCAATCCATCATCATCAGCAAAGGCGGCCTGTAATCAAATTAGCGCAGGGTACCATAAACGTTGTCTCTCCATCAGTATCCTCTAACAAGCTTCATGGGTTTACGTGCCAAGAATATGTTATAGAAATGCTTTATCTGGCCATGTCTGTTAGTTCAGAGACAATATTTATAATTTAATTTGCAGTAAAACTCCATGCAGGTCAACAGTAATGTCATATATTTTACTGCACAGTAAACGGTTTACTTCAACATGGAGTTTCTTTCAGTTATATTCACCAGTCTGTGATTTTATACATTATATAGTTTTAAAAAGGAAAAATGGATTTTGCATGACCCTTCCAGGGAGAAGTGGGCGAACCAGGCCAGAAGGGAAGCAAAGCCGACAAAGGTGAACAGGTGAGTAAATTAGATTGTAAAATCCTTATTTATACACACGGTACGATTTGCATTCAGAACCGATTTTACATAAAATACCATTACTGAATGATTTTCATGACATTCATTTTTTAAGGTTTCTTCCAATGGTTAAAAAAAAAAAAGACATTAAATTGACTTCTTTTGTGTTGTTCTTGCTGGTTGCATGCAACAACAAACATACAGCACAACCAGTATAGTCTGATTCACAAATGAATGAATCATACAAACCGGTTCTTTTAATTAATTGGTCTAAAAGAATCATGAATCAGTCTTGAAAGCATGTCAATCACTCAATCGGTCCATACTATGTCTAACTCGAAATTACCTAACTTAAAGGAATTATTCCCTGAAAAGTGCTAGAAGAGTCAGTAATTAAATGATTGAGGAACCAGAATTGTTGAATTTCTTGAGATTCCCATCTCTTAGTACAGCTCTGTTCTGATCACCTTCTTCATTGTGTTGTCCACTAGGGTCCACCAGGTCCACCTGGTCTTCAGGGAACTATTGGAGCTCCTGGACCTACTGTACGTCTTGACTACACATCCAGAATCATTTCACATCTACTATTTCTGTCATTTCGAATTTAATGAAATGCATTGCGACTCTGACTTATGCCTATTTCAGGGAGCTGATGGTGAACCAGGTCCTCGTGGACAGCAGGGTATGTTTGGACAGAAGGGAGATGAAGGATCCCGAGGCTTTCCTGGACCTCCCGGTCCCATCGGTCTGCAGGTGAGTGCCAATGATGGCCCAAATATAAGCTAACATTTTTATTTTGTGTAGAACTGAGTTCCCAGTCCCATGGTAACTCAGACTAATGCTGCACAAACAACATTAACTGGTGGCCCTGGGCAGTAGATGCACTGGGAGGTGTTTGAGATGTGAATTGATTTCCTTTTGATTCCCCCTCTGCTGGAATCGCCCTGTGAATAAGTACAGACTCAGTACAGACATGCATGAGCAGGGTCCATTGCATTAACAGTTTCAATTTTGGTTTGCTGGTGGTATAATTACTACCAATTTATTTATGCTACTAATTAGCGAATTTATTAAAGGTAGAAAATATTTTGTTGTGCAATATCAGTCCCAAAGTGTTTGCGCAGTAATTTTAACTAGAGGCTAGTAATTCTAAAATATACAGCAGTTCTCAATTTTGTCTCGTCAAAGGCAATTTAAATATATTGAGTTCTGGCATGAAACTCTAGATCAGGGCTGTCCAGACTCGGTCCTGGAGGGCCGGTGTCCTGCAGAGTTTATCTCCAACTTGCCTCAAAACACCTGACCGAAAGTTTCTATGCCTAGTAAGAGCTTGATTAGCTGGTTCAGGTGTGTTTAATTAGGGTTGGAGCTAAACTCTGCAGGACACCGGCCCTCCAGG